GGATGACTGAGCTCATAGGATTTCTTCTTTGGTTTTTGTGGGGTTTTTTTGTGTTTTTTGTGGTTTATGCTAGCTTTTAACTTGTGATCCTCCTCTCACCTTGGCCTCCTGAGTGCTGGGATTCCAGGTGTGGACCACCATGCTTGGCCTTGTAGAAGGAATTTAAAAGGGTGTAGAAACTCCTACACCCTGGAAAAAGTGGTTTGCCTTTTGGAGGCTGCCACCCAGCACGTGTGTTGGTCCAGAAAGGATTCCGTTCTCCCAGTGCACACCACCTTTGCCTTTCTCAGAAAGCAGAGTGCTCTGATCTCCTGGGGCCTTGACCTGGACTGGAATCTTCTGGGTTTTTCTTGATCATGCTTAGCAGGACTGGACTGAGCTAGGGGGATCTAGAAGGTACACATGCAGGAATCTGGAGGCTGAGAGGTATCTAGACTGTCTGCATCCAATCTTACTCCAAAAGTTCATCTCCTTTGCCTCGTTGTTCTAGTCCTGAGAAGTAGACCTAGGGGATGGGGGGCTATTGTCATCATTCCTGTTCCTTAATTTGTACAACCGAGGCCCTAAGAGGGAAGTGACAGTTGAGTTGCCTCTCACATGCAGGACAGTGTTCCCTTTTCCCTGGCCTCCTCTCCTAGTGATCCACAGGACTGTCCAGGGAAAAGACTGCCAAGATTGGCCTGGGTGTCGTGACTCAGGAGGCTTAGGCGTACAGCTCTGGACCCCAGTGTCAGATAGGGTGTGAGTTCAGGTTCCCAGGCAGTCCCTGGCAGCAGAGCCACAATGACTCACCAGTCACCTGGGTTCTCTGGGGAGTAGAGGACAGGACGACCTGCCAGCAGGCTGACCTCCATCCTGGGCTGTGGCCACTGGGTAGTGACCCCAGGCCTCGGCCAGATGGTTCTGAAAACTGGGGAAGGTGGAGTCCTGAGGGGCTCAGAGAAGTGGAGCAATAGGGAGGGGGTCCTTGTGGGGTGAATTTGGGGCCCTGGGCACCACGAGGAGTGTGAACAGACTCAGAATATCCTGTTCAGCTCTCCAGACTATAACGTGGTTAAGAGCAGGAGTCGGGGTCAGAGCGACTTGGATGTGAGCCTGACCCTGTCACTGGCTGACTGTGACAGCCTCACCTTTGCTGTGTTAGTAGCAGCAATGCCACTGCTGGGGGCTGTCAGAACTGGTGAGTTAATGCAATTTAAGTGTCCTTATCCAGTGTTTGGGCTGTCGTGTGTACCTCATTATCATTTATCACAAGGAACTAAAACCAACCAAAAGCAGTGTGGAAACCTGCAAACCAGCTGGGTTAAGGAAATTGCTGACTTTGACCTGAAAATGTAACTGTAGCTTCCTTGTGGCCACATCAAAAAGGGAAATGCAATCAGTTGTAAATCTTAGATTCTCAAGGAGGAAACAACTGAGTTTCTCAGGGGAGGCAATGAGGTGCTTTACGTGAACTCTCCAGGGCATTTCTCACTGGGCAGCAGTCACCATAAAGGGCACCTGGAGGGAGGCGTTGCAGCTTCATTGAGCAGGAATCACACAGCGTGGCAGGGGTGTTTTTCATGTGGTAGCTGTTTGGAAGGATGAGGGGAAATCTGGGCTCTAAGAAGACATGTCAGTGGGAAAACCAGGAATGTGGTGGGGGTCTGGGCTGTCAGGATTCAAGGTCGAAGCATAGATAGTTCAGAGCAGATGTGACAGAGGCTGCTAACCCTTCAGGGAGAAGGGAAGGCTTGAGCCTTTTCAACTGGGATCCTTGGGAGTCAGATTACAGAGTCCGACTTCAGCCTCAGTTTTCTCATCTGCACACTGGAGTTATCCTTGCAGGGACCTTGGGAGCAATGCATGGAGTCCTACCTAGCAGTGTTCAGCGTACAGTGAGTAATCAAATAAGTGTTAAAGATGTGTACACACATCCTGTGTGCACGTAGCCACACAGGTTTTTTTCATAAGCTTCCTGGCTATGGAGGGTTTAAGGAATGTGAGTGACCAGAATTTTATGGCTCTGTACAATTTACAACTGGTGAAGGATTCATTGTACTCACACTTGCTCCCAGCAACAGGAGGGCTGCATGCCTTACCTCAGCTGAGCGATGAGGACATGGTGCTTGCAGACTTGCCCTTGAACCCAGAGCTGGGCACACAGGTGGGCAGAAATGCACCAGTCCTCCGGCTCTCTGGCTGGCCTCTCCTAGCTGCCCAGAAAGGCCATTTGGTGTTGGGGGGGTTGAGTTAATTGGGGGAGCCTGAGGAATGAATAATGACAGCACCAGCATATTCTGCAACTTGTAACAGGCTTGTTCCAAGTCCACCCATCCTTATCTGTGGGCTCCAAATCCACTGATTCAACCAACCACAGGCTGAAAATATTTGAGAAAAATTGCTTCTGTACTGAACACATACAGGCATTTCTCTCATCTTTTCTAGTCCCTAAGCAGTGAGTATGATAACTGTACAGCTTTTGCATTGTATTAGGTATTATAAGCAGTCCAGATTTAAAATATATGGGCTAGTCAGGCACTGGTGGCTCACGCCTGTAATCCCAGCTACTCAGGAGGCAGAGATCAGGAGGATTGTTGTTCAAAGCCAGCCTGGGCAAATAGTTCATGAGACCTTTTCTCAGAAAAACCCTTCACAAAAATAGGACTGGTGGAGTGGCTCAAGGTGACGACTCTGAGTTCAAGCCCCAGTATGGCAAAATCAATCAATCAATTAACCTATCAGATATGCGGGAGGATGTATGTAGGTTATATGCAAATGTCACACAATGTCATGTAAGGAGTTTGGTCACCCAAGGATTTAGACTCCAAGGGGAGTCCTGGAACCAATCCCCACGGACACAGAGGGCGACCATATTTGACATTTGACTTTTAATCCTCACAACTGTCTTCCTATGTGTGAACTATTACAAGTACCTTACAGGTAAAGCGACTGAGGTGCAGAGAAGGACACTGCTTGGCAGAGGTCATGGGGAGTTCATGCAGTTCCTGGTGGATGAGAAGAGAGAGGACACAGAGATATGCTCAGAGGACGTCTGTATCTCCCTGTGTCAGCCCCAGTTGCCTTGGTTGTGGTGGCCAAGACCATGGAGCGACATTGGGTTGGAAACTACTTTCTTTACACCCCGCACTGCCTATGACCTTGGGCATGCTTTCCTTCTTCTCTCACCTTCACCTTCTCACCCCACACATGTCCCTCACAACTCAGCTCAGACGCCACCTGCCTAGGAAGCCTCAGGCTCCCCCCCCAGCCTGGGAGATTCAGATTCTCAGGGTTCTGGGCTTCCTCAGTCGAGCACTCTCTTGTGTCTTGTACCTGTGAAGTGCTGTGGAAAAGCCATTTCCTCGTCCCTGGTGCTTGCAAGGCCTGCCACAGGGAAGGTGGACACTGTCACTTCTTCCTCAAGGACGGGTCACAACTTCAGAGGCTGTGTGTCGTGATGGTTCTGCAGACCTGGCTCAAATCCTGGCTTCCCCACCTCATCTGCATTTGGCCAAGAACCTTCCTGTGGGTTAAAGGAGACCACAAGAATTGATGCTTAGTCCAGCTCTGGGCACAGGCAAGAGCTCAAAGCAGTCCCATCACTGTTGTCAACATCAGCCATGCCTCCCCCATCACAGGAGAGCAGCTCCAGTCCCTGTCTTCAGTCTATCATTGTTTGGGTTTTTTTTTTCCCCCTCAAGTGCTCTACCACTGAGGTACATCCCCAGCTCCATCTGTCTTCATTCTAATTCCAGTGCCCTTGGGGACTCCTGAGTGGATACCCCTGGCATATCTTCCCCACCTGCAGAGTGGGACAACACCCAACCTCCAATTTTGAGTCCCTTGAGTTCAGAGCCCTCAATGGAATTTTCCCAAGTGGCTTTTATTTAATAAAAGCAAAAGATGACTTTTATTTGATAAAACATAACCCTAAGTCTGTAAGGACGAGCACTGAATTTATGCCCAGGCAAGCTGAGTTTACTTATAATGAAGCATCAGTCGCAATCTTGTCCAGCTGAAATGTCTGGGTTGGAGAGGTTTGTCAAGATGGAGGAAACTGGGCAGTGGAAAGTATATAGACACTGGGTCCGGAGCATGGGGTTCAAATCATGATCTCCAGCTGTGTACCCCTGGGCAGTAAAACAGTGTTGCCTAGTTATTGAGAGCTTGCTGTGTGATAGCAGTAGACTAAATGCTCCAGGTTCCTGATGCCTTTCATGCTTAAATCCACTCTGTGAAGTGAGCACTCCCATTTTACTGAAAAGGAAAACTGAGGTTCAGAGAAGAAAAATCAAATGACCAAAGCCACACAGCTGGGAGGTGGCCAAGGTTGGGCTTTAGCCATGCATGTGACCACTGCCTCCAAGACCTGCCAGCTGGGAGGTCTCTCCTCCAGGTCTCAATGTGTCCTCCCATAGACTGGGGGACACTCAGCCAGCCTGCTACAAGGCTGTGTGAAGTACTGGTTCAGCAGTCTGCATGGCGGTGCTCGGTGACTATATTCTGCCTATAATTCTTGGTAACACAGAGCCTAGTGAGAATGGTGCTCCTTTTCTGAGTTCTTAAAGCCGGAGTAGGAACACCTGCTTGAACAGGCTCTGGGACGGTTTAATGACTCCGGGAAGTAAAGTCGGCACAAAGCAGGTGCTCAGGGCAGTTCCTTTTCTGTCTCTGTGCCCAGCGCTGCCTGGAATGGTGCTTCCCACATCCTGCACTGGCAGTGGATCTGCATGGAACCACCCACACTCCTCTGCATCTTCCCTGACTTAGGCTTTCGTGGACGTGCTGGGGTTGTGCGGCTGGATTTAGCACGCAGTGTCTGGCAGTTCATCCAGACACAAGGGCTCCAGCTCGTCCCAGTGGGGTGGTCATACTGGAGTGACATTCAGCCTCTCTGGACTTCTGCCTCTCCCTGTCAGACGGGAATTGTGACAGGAGATCCTGTTTCTGGCTCTGTGTTCACTCAGCCCCAGGCTGTCAAACCTGGGCCCATCTGCTTCCTCCTTTTCTTCCTGCAGGTGTTCGCAGCTGGGTCCAGGGACCAGTCGCTGAGAACTGTATTTGTATATCCTGGACACCATCACAGTGAACGGTGAGGGACCCTTGTGGTCTGGATTCCTGTCTCTAAAGGGGATGAGTGACCACTGACAGGGTGGGGAGATGGAGGGCGGTGCTAACGCAGCTGTCCCCTGGGTTTTGGAAGCATGGTTGGAACCAAGTTCCAAACTCTGTTCCCCTTCATTGCTCTTAGCACTGATGCAACCTTCCCATTATTTGAGGAAAATTTTCAGTGAGTAGTTGCCTCCCCCACTAGACTGTAGGTAAGAAAGGTTTCCAAAGAGGAAGCAGGTATGGTTGTCAAGAGCATAGACACTGAGGATGGGATCCAAAGCACACTCTGCTTTTACATAGCTATATAACCTTGGGCGACTGGCCTAATTTTTCCATGCCTCTGTTTTCTTGTTTGTAAATTGGAGCTTGTAACCTACTTCACTGAGTGCTTGAGAAGATTAGGGGAGTTTCTGGATGTCAACCCTTAGACTAGTGCCTGGCTTGTCGGAGGTGCTGGGAAGGGGTGTTTGGTAAGGAAGTAAAATATTGAGCCTGGGATGTGGCTCAGTGGTAGAGGATCAGCCTAGCATGCTCAAGGTCCTGGGTTTGATTCCCACCACCACGGAAAGACGAAGAAAAGAACAATAGTTAAATGGCTAAACCACTCTTTGGCCTTGCTCAGAGCCAAGGAGGACATGGTTGGGCATGCCTGTGTTGATCAGCTTCTTAGTGCTAACGGCCCCTGTCTTCCCTTACAGAGGATGGAGGATGTTGATTACAACTCTTCTGTCGCCTACGATGATGAGTATTTGGATGACTTTGAACCCATTGTGGTTTTGGAGGAGTACTCTCCACTGGAAGCCAGGGTGCTCAGGATCTTCCTGGTGGTGGTCTACTGCATCATCTGCTTCCTGGGGATCCTGGGTAATAGCCTGGTTATCATCATTTGCACTTGCAAGATGAAGAAGACGGTGAACACCGTGTGGTTCCTTAACCTGGCTGTGGCGGATTTCCTGTTCAATGTTTTCCTGCCAATCCACATTGCCTACACAGCCATGGACTACCACTGGGTGTTTGGGAAAGCCATGTGCAAAATCAACAACTTCCTGATCAACTACAACATGTACACCAGCGTCTTCTTGTTGACCATCATCAGCCTTGACCGCTGCATCTCGGTGCTTCTTCCTGTCTGGTCCCAGAACCACCGCAGCCTCCGGCTGGCCTATGTGGCCTCTGTGGCTATCTGGATCCTGGCTTTCTTCCTGAGTTCTCCATCCCTTGTCTTCCGTGACACCATCGATGTTCATGGGAAAACATACTGCTTCTACAACTTCAGCCTGACTGGGACTGGGACTGGGCCTTCCCACCATCCTGGTGGCCACTCCACAGACCCCGTGGTGTACAGCCGCCACCTGATGGTGACCATCACGCGTTTCCTCTGTGGCTTCCTGCTCCCCATCCTCATCATCACAGTTTGCTATCTCACCATTGTCTTCAGGTTGAGGCGCAACCGCCTGGCCAAGACCAAGAAGCCCTTTAAAATAATTGTAGCCATTATTGTCACCTTCTTCCTCTGCTGGGGTCCCTACCATACACTCTACCTGCTGGAGCTCAGGCAAGCCACGGGGTCCAGCTCCGTCTTCAGCTTGGTCATGTCTCTGGCCTCCGTCATCGCCATTGCTAACAGCTGTGTGAACCCCATCCTGTACGTCTTCATGGGTCAGGATTTCAAGAAGTTCCAGGTGGCCCTCTTCTCCCGCCTGGCCAATGCTCTGAGCGAGGACACCGGCCACTCCTCTTACGCTAGCCACAGAAGCATCACCAAGATGTCATCAGTGAATGAGCGGACTTTGATGAATGAGAAGGAGACCAGCATGCTTTGAGTCTCACTTGGGAAAGCCCCAGAGGGCACTCCCAACCCAGGGACACCCAAGGACATGTCTTCTGAAGACCAATGCCAAATGCCTACTGCATTTTGCATAGGAGTGAACCATATTTTGAGCTGGGAATCCAGGGCACATAACCTCTTTCTTCAAGAGAATGGTGGGCAGAGCCTGCCATATTGGTCCATCAGCCTTGGAAGAGCAATCTGTGCTCTGTGGGAGACTAGTCTTGACTGACTCAAAACCATGAACTGAGATCAGCACATGGCTGCAAGATTAAGCTACCTTCTGCGTGAAATGCCACAAACTCCACAAAGTCCCTGAGAACAGAGGAGATCAGAGCAAACTCATTACATTCCTATCATATCTATATCAGCCAGAAAACCCTGCCTCCCAGTCATTCCTCTGGGTACAGAATGTAGAAATACACAGGTTACTTGGGAGAGGAAGGTGACAGATCCTATGAACTTCCAAGACCATGACTTTGACCTTCAGATGAGACAAGAAGACCAGATCCTAAGGGACTTCATGGACTGTCTTGACAAGAAGCGTCAACCAGGGCTTGGGGCCAGAGGACTGAATGGAGAAGGGAGAGCAAAGGATATGGTGTGTAGAAGCTCACCCTAGAACATCACAGGGTGATGATGTTTTCGGCTGTCAGTATTTTTGGGTGTGTGGATGGTAGCGGCCCTTGGTACCTGGGCATTTTTACCTGGGGGTGGTGGCATGCCACCACCCTCCATCACAGAGTTGTTCCCTCCTTCCCCTCGTCCACTGGCTAGAGGTGCTTCAAGTACAATCCTCCTGGGAGGGGAAGGGCTTCCTCCTCTCATCCATTTCCTCTAAACCTTACCAGAGTCTGGTCTAAAGTGTCAAAGAGCAGCCTCAGAGCATCTCCTGGGAGAAGGCTGTGTCTGAGGGCTCAGCCATGAACTTGAAGCAGAACCTGGACCCTGACTCCTTGGACCATGCTCCCAAGATGAGATAACACAGCTTCCATGTGCAGTCCCATGTCTGCTTTTTCTCATCTGAAACAGACAACGTCCTGTGGCGGGGAGTGACACTGTCCTATTTACCAATGACAAAGGCAAAGCTTTGGAGGAGGACAGTAACTCACCCAACACCACGCACAGTGCGTCAGTGACAGACAACATGTGAATACTGCTCTGCCTGGCTCCAGAGACTCCATTCTTTCATAGAAAAGATGTCTATTAAGAGTAGTCTAGCCCTATAATGTTAACTTACATTTATTCAGCATTTTCCGTATTAAGAATTTTGTATGTATTATTTCATTTATTCCACACAGTAATGCTGAGTTTGGTACAGTGATTATTTCCCCTTTCCATATGAAGAATCTGAGGTTCAGAGAGGTTAGGTAACTTGCCCAAGGGCACTCAGCTGGTGTTTGGCAGAGATGGGGTTTGAACTTCAGTTTTTCTGGTTCAAATGAGATAGTAGTTGGAAAGGAACTGAAGGAGTTGAGGTTTCAACCATAAGTATTGATTCTTCACTGGATTAATGTGAATGTCTTAATGGCCTTTAAGAAACTTTGCAAATAATTTTCAAAATGATCCACAACTCCGGGATACCTACCAACACCTTCCCTAACCCTGTGGTTGCAATCCTCTGCCCCTAAGGTCTCCCGAGAGAGCAGAGCGGGGAGCCTGGCAGGAGGCAGCGTCTCGTGGGCTTTTTGACCTCCAAGTGTCCACATACTGTCCTCTTCCAAGCCCTGTCACTGTCAAGGCTGTTCTCAAGCAGGGAGCAATAAACAGATATGATGGCTATCTCGTGCTGCTGTGGGCTGCTTGTACTCACACTTCATTAGGGACAAACTGTCCCTTCCTTGTTGGGTCTTAATGCTTATGACGAGGCAGCTCTGTATTGACTCAAGCTGAGGACTCTGGTTGCTTCAGAAGAGTCTGAATTTGTACAGTTTGAGAGCAAAAAAGGGAGTTTAAAGATGGCCTGGTGCCCTGTTCCCTCCCCAGGTTTACAGATGAAGCAACTCAGGCAAAAGATTTCAAGGCTTTTTTCCCAGTCAGCCTGGGGCCTCCTGGCTTCTAGGATGGTGTTCTTCCTGGGCTGAAGACAGGCCAGGCCAGGCCAGGCCGGGGACCAGGAATTCATGCTGTCACTGGAAAAGCTGACACACAGGAGCACAATCCAAGCCAGCTGTTCTTCCTTGGAGCCAGGCCCTTCTTTTCCTGATTGTCACACTGGAGTCTCTGTTCTGACCGTAGTTTCCTGCCAAACATGTGAGATATAACCATCATGTGCCATCCCTCTTGTCCCCATGCCTTGTTACAGCACCCCCAGGTCACCTGTGTGTCATCTCTGTAGTTTGCAAAATGTGCTCCCCTGTGTCACAACCAACAGGATCAGGACTGGAGACCATGAGGGAGCCTCAATGAGGCCTCCTGGGTGGGACTGGCAGACATGGGGACAAGAGCAGAGGATGAGAAAAGATGGTGTCTGAAGATAAGAGAGGTGAGGGGCAGAGGAACAGAAAGGAAGCAGAGCACAGTGATTGAAGAAAGGAATATGGCATTGCTTAAGGGTTTACGCAAACTTCTGGACACATAGCTGGCCCTGGGGCAAGAGGACACTCCCCATGTGGGACGTGCAGATAGTCAGATTCAGGGTCACAAGCTAGGAAGCTGTGCTGCTGGGCTAGGAACCAGGTCTGCTGCCTGAGCGCCACCTTCTTCAGCTAGTAGAGGGGAGGAGGAAGGGAGGGAGAAGACAGTCCATGGTGAGACCCACGAAGGACAGCTCCTCTTGCCCAGGCTTTTCCCACTTTTACAGGCTGCCACATCCACCCCTCAGAGGATCTGTAGGCACAGGCTCTGTTGGCTCAGGCGCACGGACCAGTGATCCCTCAGCTCTCTCTGTCCTTCTTTCCTAGCTCGCCATGCTCTTGCTGGAGCCAGGTGTCCTGGGCCTGTGATCACCCAACCCTGGGTTTGGTAAATGACTGTTGAATGTGGCATCCAGGACAAGAGGAACCAGGAATGATTCTCCTGCCTTGAAATAATTCCGTATGGGTCTGCCTACTTTCTTCCTTTGAGAAGAAATTTCTCCAAAATAGATGAAAGCAAGAGTGCAGGGCTCAGTTCTGGAGGTTCCTGCCACAGCCTAGCCTGGCCTACCCTCCCTATTTAGCTCACCAAACAGCAGCTGAGGCTCAGAGAGGCCCAGTCACCTGTCCAAAGCCACATGACTATGTGTGACACAGCAGCAAAATCCTGACGTTCCCAACCTACCATTCTCTGAATTGTGTACTTCAGGGACTCTGCATTTTGGAAACAATTTCCCCACCTCTAATTTTTTTTATTTTCCTAGCAACCGACCATGATAAAATGGGAATACCTTGCTCAACATAACACAGCAAGTGATAGCAGTCAGGCAACACAAACCCAGACCTCCTCACTCCCAAGTCCACCCTCTTTGGCACAGCTCAGGCCATTCAAGGATGCATTCATCCACCCAGCCACCCCAATACCCACCCATCCATCCATTTGCCTATCCACCCCCCCAGGAACCCACCCTCTGAACCCATCCACTCAGCCACACATCCACCCATCCATCCATTTGATACCGGAGAGAGGGATTTTACGGCATGGAAACGGTAGAAATGAGACCAAGTCATGTATTGCAAACAAACAAGACAGATAAAAGCTCCTTTATTGGAATTTCAAGTGGAGCTGACTCAAGCCAAAAGAAGCCTACACTGACCAGGGGTGACCAGGCTGCTCGCTTGAACAAAGGGAAGAACAGATTTTATTGATTTTTCTAAGGTGGGCTAAAGTTTGGTAATTGTCCTCTGGTCACAGGCTGTTTTTCCTTCTTATGTGCAAAAAGGCCCTGAGGTTTGAAGGTTAATGGGTGGGAAGTGACTGCGAAGTTTCTCCTTTATCGATGACATCATTTCAGATAAACGTCCTGGCTTCATGGTTTATGATAACCCTAAGGGATGTGAGCTGCTGGGTGGGTGCTTGAGCTGCTGAGAAAGCCCAAGGGTGAGATGGATGAAGCACATACCAGTTGCAACAGGCAATAGGCCAAGTGAACCCTGTATGACAGTCTTGGACAAAACATTTCTTGACTGGTCGGCACGTCTACATGCAGAGTTAAGTAGAGTGAGACTCAAAGGTTGAGGCAGAAGAGGGTCAGACATACTATGAGGACAGAGCTGCCTTTTATCCTACTGTTGTCATCCATCAGGCATCCATAGGCTCCAGTGAAGAGTCAATCCTTTTAGCAAAAGTGCCTTTCAAGTCTCTGTGAAGTAACCTAGGCAACTGTTATCCTAAAACCCACGGCAGTGAAGTCAGTCTGGACTGAGATTCTGATCTTACAGATTGCCTGACAACTGGGTTGATTCTGGGGGCTTACCAAGGGCATTTTAGGGGATGAGGGTTTCCCTTGGTAACAATTCCCCCTATCTTTGTCATTGTGTGACTATCTTGAGCCCCACTAGTTTTAGCTTGGCTTAATCATAAGAGACTCCTAGTTTGTACACATCCTGGTCTTGTGGCTTAATCTGATGTTGTATAACAAAGCTGTTGAAAGCGTGTTTTGCATGGGTGACAGGTTAAGAACCCAGAGTTTTATTTTCCCTTTGTCCCTTTTTTTGCTCCTTACCTGTTTCACGTTTACATATCTAACTATACATCCATCCTTGCATCTCACAAAAATGTACTTAATACCTACTCTGTGCCAGGTAGCATGGGAGGCACTGGGAACACAGGGATAAGCAAGGTACACAGTCTGATCTCCTTCACTGGCTAGTGGGAGAGACAGTGAAAAATTCAAAAACAAAAACAACCAACCAACGCACAGACATCTCCAATGGAAACCAGCCACAGCAAAGTGCTACACAATTACTGAGGGATCTGGCTCTTTTCAGAGACCAAGAACATTTCTTGGGGAAGGGGCCCTTAGGTTGAGATGGGTAGCAGGGGTAGGTGTTGAGTAGGTGGGGAGGTGGGGGGAGCAGATATAGGGGGCTGGGAGAAAGCTGTGGTTATTGGGGAGGGG